CAGCACAGCTGACTAAAGGCAACTCGGCTGGCACACGGGAAACTATTGCCAAATACAAATTGTGACGAAATCGTACCGAAGTAAGAATGTGGACCAGTTATTTTCAAATATTAGACGTCCATTGTTGCGCAACGGTTTGTAGGCAGCGTGGACTGTCATTTTTTTTTTTTTTACACCACACTATCATGTACGTCACTGTGTACCATAAATAAAGTTTTAGAATTTTTTAAATTATACAATTTTTTCAACAAAGATCTTCCTGATCTTAATTTTTGGGAGTTACATAACAATACAATTCTTATAATAAATTTTAAACGTGCTTAAATTGGAACGCTAAGTGCGTCGAGGTTGAGTTTGTGAGCGTTTCTGCGCCTGTTAATGCGTTTTATAGTAAGAATTACCTGAAACGACATTCGGAATTGTCATGAAGCTAAAAGAACTGTTCAACGATCAGAAGTAATGACACCCAAATTTTTTGTACGCATTTTATTATGATAGCCTTTAATTATATTAATATGAAATGCTCTGTACGCTTTCCATTACATATTATTATAGATATCCATTCTTAGTTTCACTAATAAAAGATGAATTAACGAGCTCATGATCTGATTACCAAAACCCATAGACATTATTTTGCGAAAGCCACCGTCACCTTGAAGTTCCACCCAGATTCACTCTTGGTGCTTTTAGGTCCCTCAAGCACCAGTCACGACTCTTAGGCTACCAACGAATAGGTAGGGAGAAAAAAAACTAGAATCACACTCTTCCTACTTATCTCCTTTAGTCCTGACCGCCCTACTTATACTTACTGGGCATGGTACAAACACGATCGGTGGTACCTCTTGTATGTCTACTTCTCAGTTTGAAGGTGGCAGTTGAGAATTCGATTTCTACCCATCTTTGTGCAGCTGGAGCGGCCTTCGGGTCACCGGTAAGTTATTTTCCCATAAACGTAAAATTTTTTGTTACTCTTTTTATAATAATAGTGTGACCGGCTATTTTAAGATAGAGATCTGGTATACGATGCCTCCACAAACACCGGACCACGCGAGCTATCAGCAATCATTATTCAGTTCAATTGTATTATTCGTGGTAGCATTGGTGTCGATGTTCGACAAATACAGAATGCAGTCAACATTACAGAACTTCAAAATTATGATATAATATGTACAACGTTATATGTTATGTACATATACATATGTATGCTGTGTGTGTTTTTTGATTGTGTTAATGACACATAATATTTTATTTTCAATAAAGCAACCCCTGCTGCAGCACTCTCTACGTCACCCCTGGTTGACTGGTATAGACGCATTAGGAATTAAGTCCACCACTTTACTTTTTCTGCACGATATTATTAAAAGCAAATATACGGCTTATCTCGTTTTTTTACTATTTAACTTTAAATTGTAAACCGTAAAAGAAGTCTTAATTATGTCTATGACTTGGAAAAGCCTTGGAAAATTCTAGATATTTTCGATAGTTACTCGCGTCCATGTACTTAACTGATAAGCCTGCTTGAAGGAACATTTTAGTGTTGTTTTTTATTTATTTATTAAATTTATTTATTATCTTTTACGTAAAATTAAAAACTAATGGATTGATAAAATATGACTTAGTAATCATTACAACACATTTTTCTAAATCGTTCTTTTTTGTTACAGTGTTCGTGCTTTTACCTGGACAGCGTATGTTTGATAAGATACAAAAAAAACACTATTCAAAAAAATGTGTGTTATAAATCCTTACTTCCTTGTGTTCGATGAGCTCACGGCCCATTTGACGGTGAGTGGTCACCGTCGCTTATAAACGGCCGTAATGCCAAAGGCATAGCCAAGCTTCTACCTATCCTCGAGGAATATTTTCAAGCCTGCTTTGAAAAGAGCATGACACACATAGCGCTCAGTAAGCAATGTGGAGGGAAGTTTATTCCAAAGTCAGATGGAACGTGGCAAAAAAGGATCTCTGAAAACGCACTTTGAATTAACGCAGTGATTCTAAATAGTAAGGATGAACTCTGCTCTGGTGGCGGGCGTTGCAATAATATAAATGAGATGTAACGATCATCTGAAATAATTCCTTAGAGCACTCCCTATAAAATATAGTCATCATCATCAGCCTGCGGCAGTCCACTGCTGGACATAGGCCTCCCCCAAAGCTTGCCACTGAACCCGATCTTCGGTTCCACGCATCCAGTTACTGCCAGCTGCCTTGCGCAGGTCGTCGCTCCACCTAGCAGGAGGGCGTCCTACACTACGTATGCCGGGTCGCGGTCTCCACTCCAGAACACGTCTACCCCAACGGTTATCGGTTCTGCGACATATGTGACCAGCCCACTGCCACTTCAGCTTACTAACTCTGCGAGCTATATCGATCACTTTGGTTTTTGCCCGAATGACCTCATTGCGTATTCGGTCTCGCAATGACAAAACGAGCATAGCTCGCTCCATAGCTCGCTGAGTAACTTTTAATTGGTGGACCAGTCGCACAGTCAGTGTCCACGTTTCGGCTCCGTAGGTAAGCACGGGTAGGACGCACTGATAAAATATAGTACATACCGTACAAAAGACAGGACGAATTGAAGTATTTCTGTAGATCCAGTATCTAGGATTCTATCTCTCTATCTATTTCAAGGGTTTGAGAAGACTTGGAAAGAGTCGTTAGACACAGGTTGGGTTGTGGGCTGTGGGGTTCAGAATATACCTATATATTCTAATGAACGGTCGTCGCGATCAGGACCGTGAGCATCGTAGAAGCTGTATCTGTGGATGAGCGCAGTAGTTCCGTATAGGATGAATGGCTAGTTGTGCAATTAGAAAACAACAGAATTAAACGGGAAATGTGGAGCAGAAAACCAATCCCTTAGTACACACGTTCGAAACGATACATTGGGTCGGGATTATCGACAGGGAAATAGTTCGGAGAATATCATATAAAAATACATTTTTTTTTTGCGTTTGTAGGCAGACCAGCGTTCGGCCCGCCTGATGGAAAGTGGTTATCGTCGCTCATGGACGTCAGCAATGCCAGTGGCAGAGCCAAGTCGCTGCCTACCATGCGCGTTTTTTTTATTTTTTTTTATTGCTTAGATGTGTCGACGAGCTCACAGCCCACCTGTTGATAAGTGGTTACTGGAGCCCATAGACATCTACAACGTAAATGCACCACCCACCTTGAGATATAAGTTGTAAGGTCTCAGTATAGTTATAGTTACAACGGCTGCCCCACCCTTCAAACCGAAACGCATTACTGCTTCACGGCAGAAATAGTCAGGGCGGTGGTACCTACCCGCGCGGACTCACAACAGATCCTACCACCAGTAATTACGCAAATCATAATTTTGCGGGTTTTACTTTTATTACACGATGTTATTCCTTCACCGTGGAAGTCAATCGTGAACATTTATTGAGTGCGTATTTCATCAGAAAAATTGGTACCCGCCTGCGGGATTGGAACACCGGTGCATCGCTTCAACACGAATGCACCGGACGTCTTATCTTTTAGGCCACGACGACTTCAAATCGATGCGTGCGCAGGATGACTTTTGATATACAAGAACTTACTATATATCTTAAAAGAAAAAAATCATATTTATTTATGTATGCACCATCTCTTTCCACTGTTGTTATAAAAGGCGTATAAGGGCGTCTTCGACGTTGAATTGATGAAGGGGCAGCAGCGTTCGCTGAGTTTCATGTCAGATAATTGCGTTCACCAACTGGTACTTGCTGGTAATAGGACGTATTGTATCGTCACATGTTTCGATCTGAAGAGCGGGGCAGTCGTTACATCAATTCCATCCAACTGAAATATTGACTCCATGCTTCAAGGCCAGTGGCAGCATTCATATTGTGATATCTATGATCTCCAACAATCGTTCACTCATCTAAGCAATAAAAAAACTTGAGTTCATGGAACCCCAACGAAGTTTGAAATAAAAATAATGAACCCGATAATTGTATGGTATTATGTTTAATAACGTAACATCAATCTTATCAACTATCTTGTATCAACGCGCCTGACCCGACTTTGCTTTTATAAGACTAGTCTGTGTATGATAAAGCTATTTTACGCGCTTTGTTGATAAGAGCCTCACATAGATTAAGAATAACTTGGTTTAAGTGATTTTTTACATCTAGGACATTTGACGTTTTGATCGTGTGTTACACCACTACTATTTCGAACGAGACCACAACTTTTTCCGTACTCATTCGCTGGTACCCCGGAGGCTAGAGCTACGCCTGGAGGGGTAGGTGAGGAGGGCTCAACCTGAGAGAATTTTCTAATACTAGCCCTAGCAAAAGCAGTGGGGGACCACAACACGCTATACCACGATCTAGTTGATCTTTCATATTATTAGAACAAAAGGAGTGCCTTGCGGCCACACAATTTTAAAGTACCAGAATACTGTGAATGTGACCTCTTCTCACGAAGCTCTTAAAGTATTTCATCGCAAAAAATCATGCTGATTCTTTGTGTAAATTAACCAGCATAGATTCGCGTTAATAATGTAATTCTAAAATTAATAGAATACTATTTGATTTATTAATATGTGCATAGTAGACACCCTTATTATTAATATTATTACAGTCTCCAAAAGAGACTAGCTTGCCCTCCTAATTTTAAGTACTCATCGTGGCCCGTGGACAAAGGCCAGGCTCAGGACCACTTAACTTATATACTTAATCAGAAATTGGTTTTGAAAATGCGTCTGCTTAATTCAACTAAAGCAGACTTAAAATTTTGACAAATACAGAATTTGATACCGCAATCTCAAGAGAAGTCCCAGAAAGTTTGATAAGCAAAGAACAAACGAACCGTGATAACGAGGCGTATCACTGAGCGCGAAGCGTGAGGGTAGCAGGCAGCAGGACATGGTAGGGCACGCAACGCATGTGGCCCGCCCGGCAGACGGGTGCCGACGCATCTGGTGACGAGGGGGGCGCGGCGGGGGCTAAAATTAGTATCGGAGCGCCACGTGCGCTGTGAACGCGAACGTACTGTCGTTAGTCGTGCATCGTACATCAGTCCGCGCTCAACTACCACGCCGGTCACCCGCCAATACGCACTTCAGTGTTTACAAGTGAACTCGCGTGGGTAATAAACTCGAAGACCGCGCTCGCGGTTGTGATAGTGTTTCAAGAGTGTAAAGGTGGCCGGCGCAACGGAGGCGGTGCAAGGCATGTTGATGGCGGGCGCTCTGCCGGCCGAGTCCGATGGACTTCTGGCTTTGGGCGCATTGCCGGGCCAGAAAGATACCACCNCCCGCCAATCCGCACTTCAGTGTTTACAAGTGAACTCGCGTGGGTAATAAACTCGAAGACCGCGCTCGCGGTTGTGATAGTGTTTCAAGAGTGTAAAGGTGGCCGGCGCAACGGAGGCGGTGCAAGGCATGTTGATGGCGGGCGCTCTGCCGGCCGAGTCCGATGGACTTCTGGCTTTGGGCGCATTGCCGGGCCAGAAAGATACCACCTGGACCAAACTTTTCGTCGGCGGACTGCCGTACCACACAACCGACAAAAGCCTTCGGGAACATTTTGCGGTTTACGGCGACATCGAAGAAGCCGTCGTCATTACAGACAGACAAACCAACAAGAGCAGAGGATATGGCTTTGTAAGATTTAAAACATTATACTTTAAAATTTCAACAATCTGTTTCATGAAAGCGTCATGTAAAGTGACACGTAGACTTTAATGCTCGCGCGCAGTCGAGTTCCACGGATTCTGAAATAAGCGTAGCTATCGCACCGGTAACACGTTATCGGCACTTCATTGCTACCTATGTACATTTACCTAGCTACCAGTCGCTGCTGGGTGCACATACGAGCAATATCGCAAAAATACAATAAACACGGAAGTCATGCTCGTTCCGCACAGGTGTACAATAGTATACCAGGTTTCGATTCACCAATTTTATGTACCTACCATAAAGTAATTATGATGTTAAAACTGTATAAACTCTATTTATTGTATAGATAGACATTCAGTAATTAAATTAGTCTAATTTGCCTATTCGTGTTCACATTCATGGTCGAACGATAACAGTGTAAATTGATTTTCTAGTGATATTAACATTATTATCAATGAACAATATAGAGTACAGCAACCGCGAATTGTAAATTTAACAGATGTGGTAAAGATTTCTACTACGTATTACATTAGACGCAGCGTTAAAACGTAATATAGTTTGAGTATTTTGTTTGGAACGCGTAGGGCTCGTGGGAAATGAATCACAACCCCATTTTCAATTCGGACTAGGGTGCGCTTGGGCCTGGGGAGGGAGTCTGTCCCGTTCCACGGTGCACCCTCCGCGTGACATCCAAGTAACTGTAATAATCACAATAAACCGTTTGTTGCATATGAGTACTGCCAATTTTTTTTTCAGTAAAAAAAAAACAGTAAATTTTGTCGCGTCATAAATTAATACGCCATTTCAGAGTATTTAAAATTAGACCTTACACTTGTTATGACGATGACTCAAAAATGCTTTTTTTAAAGCAAACTTTTTCAAAAATTAACCAGTATCTTTTATCTAAAGTATAAAGACATTATAGTCCGATTCGGCGCGTGTTATTAGTTATTATGATGAGTAAGATAAATAATGAAATCTTCGCTGTTCTTCTGAACTTTGTTTACGCATTCATGTCCCTCAAGTCTGAATCAGTCTTTTTGCATAAAATTTTATTGGAAGATATTTTTATTCTTCATTTGCATTTAACAAGAATTATAAAAACACGAGTGTATACCCGTGATTTAGTGCAGCATAAATATTGAAAAAAAAAAACTCATTATAATAAAAAATTTACGTTGTTAAATTTATTTCAATACACAACTGAAAATTACATCTAAAAATATTTCAGCCATTGTGATGTTGGGATTGTTATTGCATTGTATCTACCCAGATACGTAATGAGCTTATTAGTTTCATGTATGAAATAATCTTCTAATTAATCTTTTGTTCGAGGTAAAGTTAATCGATAATAATAGTGACATCAGTAAATACGTGTTACCCAATAGGCCATGGAAACCTGAGTATTGTTATATAAAAAAAAAAAATTGTGTAATTTTTTCACGCGACATTCGATTTTACACAATTTGAGTACATACAACGGCTTCAAAAAATCGTTCTAGATATCGGCTTTGATAGTGTGCCCAATTAAAATTTTCGTTGTAGTTTTAAATCTTTTTTATATTTCTTCTGAGCTCTTTAATCCTACCGAAAGCTTTTTGCAATTTAAATTTAAGTATTTATAATGCAATACTTAGAGTATACATTTTAAATGTATATCTGGTCTGACATATGAATCCCACATCTGTAGTAAATACGTACGATGAATAAAAATTCTAAAAATAATTTGCTTTTACTTTAATAGTTTTTTATTCTGAAAATCTTTATGTAGAGAAAATAAACGGTTTAAAAATACCAAAATTTAAGTTTTTTTATAGTTTATTATGACTGTACTCCAGTACTGTATTATGGATGATTAAACAAACAAATATAGAATAACAACATTCAATAAGAAGTTTTTGCTTATTCATTCATTCAGTCAGTGCCTCATCGTGTTGGGAAGCCATATTGAATTCACAACTGTCATTCAATATTTGTTTTCTAAAAACAAAAAAAAGGAAAATAATTTTTATCTCTGGTTCCCATCGTGACCCTTTATGAGCACCATCTTTTCATATTTTTATTAATATTAATTACGTGTCATTCCATGTATTTTTTCTGTAGGTAATAACTGTGTCTTTATGTGTTTTTGCTTTATTTTGCTGACGTTGAAGCCTCCGGTTTGATCTCTTTTTGGTGTTTGCCCGAACAGTATTCATTTTGAAATAGCCAGTATCTTTGTTGTTACTCTTTTTTTTAATAATAATATTAATTATGTTTACATAAGTGAAAATAATATATTGAAAATCTTCTTATTGTCTCGTCTCGTATTTCTATCCTGACCGGCGATTTCAAATCTGCCGTTTTTGTGCACGGTCAATCAGACGCGCACCAATAATCAAGTTTAAGTAAGATTAACTGTTTTAATAGTATTGTATTAATTAAAAAGGCGTGGCTGAAACACTGGGCGGTTTTCAGATACGCCCCTCTACGCAGCTACGTCGTAGAGGTCACGAAACAAAGATAATACACACAAAGATAATATAATAGATACAAAGTAAACACTTTTTGAAATAATGTTGCCGTAAAATATACAGTATCAGTTTTGAGAAGCCTTGGTGTTTAGTCGATTATTCGATATGATTATTTTGTTTTCAACTAAATCATCGAAACATAAACTAATTAATACGCTCTCATATAATATTAATTTGGCACAAACATGCTTGAGTAATAGTTTGTTTGGTTTCTTTAAAACAAAAACACTTTTGGATTAGATTACACGTGCAAATAAATTGCACCGCAATAAAATGTAATAGTTAGTTCGCGGACGTAAGGCCTAACATTTTCAAAGAGTGCGCTCCCAGATTTCATTCGTTTCACAGCTGGAAATGTAAACACGCCATTTTTGCGAGACATACATACACGCCAAAATAAATTGCGTGTTCACTTGTCTGACAACATATTGTATACCAGTCGACACGCGGCTTAGTTATATTGTAAGATATTTTTTTACAGATAAATTTCTTTTTTTCAAAATTTTTTTTTATTGCTTAGATGGGTGGACGAGCTCACAGCCCACCTGGTGTTAAGTGGCTACTGGAGCCCATAGACATCTACAACGTAAATGCGCCACCCACCTTGAGATATAAGTTCTAAGGTTTCAAGTATAGTTACTTCCAAATCCTTATTATTTAAAGATTTTACATCGAATTGTTATAATCTAATTTCGGACTTCGGATTGTTATTATTATCGTTGAAATTCGCTCGCATCGAATTCGAACTTGAATCTTATTTGAATGTGGTATCCAAAACCTTTATTAAACATTATCACGACTGCCATTATATAAGTATGTATATGTATTTTCAATGGCAGTTATAAGAATTTGCGGTGATCCTGCTACTGCTATACACAGCGCAGCAGACACATACACACGCACACACACACACACACACACACACACACAAAAGCAATTGACATCGACGAAACTGAGGAAATGAGCTAGATATCCTAGAGCTAGAGCCTACCTCCAATCAATTAACAAATAAAATGAAAGGGATCAAGCAATAATGAATGTAAAAAATTAAGCGCTTCTATTTTAGCGCTTAATTACATTAATTATAGTGGATTTACGACTGAATTTTTCTTCGAATGAAAAATAGGTAACTGAAAAGTTCGTATATTTTAAAATTGCCGCCTAAACTACAAACCTCGAATGAACCACATTAAGGGTTGACCATTGACCGTGAGGGCTGGTGGTCGTGGCGCCTACGACCGCCGGTCCGGTGTCCCGAGGGGGAGGGTGATGGGAGAGATGTGCTCCGCACTAAACGCTTCACTTTCCCCCCTTTGCCTCTTCATGAGTTCTGTCTCATGCGAGGTTTGGACGTTGGTTGTTGAGCGACAGGAGGTTTTAATCAGTTCGACTCTGACATGCTCCGTCCTCTATCCCCAGTGGAGGGCGGAAGCCCGGCGATTTCCTCCTGACCAAAAAAAAAAGGGGTTGACCATTAGTTTACAGAAAAGTTTTCGTGTAAAGCCTGTTATAGTTTTTGCGAATATCTGGTTGACAACAACTTTATTGTGTTGTGATTGGTGTTGAATTAATTATTAAAATTAATAGATTTATAATACTAAGCAATTTTTTTTGAAAAATTGTTATTGAATTACCGTTTTGATCCTTTAGAATCTAAAGGTTTACGTTACGTTAACGTCTAAAGCTTAGAACTAACTTTTAAATTTCTTGGACATTAATATCGCGCTGCCTATTGTCAAAGTATTTCCTTTTAATAAATCCCCGGTTAAGTATACATTTATTTCCTATGACCGTATGTGTGTGACCGATGTATATTTTCATTACCGTATGTGACTTATCCCCGGTTACCTGAATGTATATTTCAGTCATGAAATTGTAGTTAATCAAATTGCTAATCGTGCAGACCCGTCGTTGATTCTCAAGTTTTATAAGTTTTACAGTACAATACAATAAAACTTGTTTATTGTTTAGTGATAAACGAATTGAACGTAAACACGTACCCGGTATTAGTGTGCTGAACCGATTACAGAGTTTCTTTTTCAAAATGTTAAATAAAAATTTACATACAATGGCTGAATGCTGAATGCCATTGCTTTAATTTGAGTTTTAATTTTTTTTATCGATTGAAATTCAGCGTTATAAATAAAAATAAAAAAAAACAGGTTTCATGCTGAATCCACGTTTAATGATTACCCGCGTTCCATTATATTCAAATTTCATTAGTTCTGGAATGATTGGGACTAGCAAATTCAGATTTTTCATGTTTGAAAACTGAAGATATCTCTATAGTTAAGGAATGTTAGATATGTTACTTATTATGTTATTATTATTATCTGTTAATTTTAATGTTGTTATTAGTTTTAATGCATTCATTTTCATTATTAGTTTTCATTTTCTTAAAAAAATATATATTTGTTAAGAAAATTAAAACTGTCATTAAATTTATAATATTGACTGGCATCGGTATGTACATACCTTTGTCCTACGTAAATCTGCCGCGTGCCAGTTTGAAGCGTGGGATCGCCGTATATACCTTTGTCCTACGTAAATCTGCCGCGTGCCAGTTTGAAGCGTGGGATCGCCGTATATACCTTTGTCTTACGTAAATCTGCCGCGTGCCAGTTTGAAGCGTGGGATCGCCGTTATTCCAATGCAATTGGGGGTTCGACCTCACATCTCAAACTGCCGGCGGAAATATTACGATATCTATGGTCTGTCTTAACCGCTAAACACTAACCCCAAATAAAGAAATAAATAAAACATTTCTCATCTTATGCCTATATCAAATAAAAACAAGAAAAGAATAACGAGGGAATTTATATGTATATATCCAGGTTTCTAGTTTTACATTTAAAAAAAAAGACCAATAGTTTTATTAATATTTTTATCAATACAGACCGATTAATATTTATTTATTTACACTTTATTGTACACAGTATGAAATTCATTGGTTACGTAAAAACAGTAGAGGTATAAATGCCGGTATTCTTGCTAACAGCGATGTTTATCAGAAAACTCGTGATGGAAAGCACATTAATGAAGAAAGCGGCGACTGTATATATTTATGATTTTATGAAATAACAAAAACAGGTATGTACGTTAATCTAGAGGTCATAAGATATATTCTATCGGCTCCATCGCGTCATTGTCATACTCGTCCAATATAAACAGGCCCTTGTTTGACAGTCTAAATAATTCAGGGTTAGTAGAACCACGGAAGGCCACACGTGACTGGTTGGTTCGATAGTCAAAGCGGCGGCGAGGTGACGACCTGCGACTTGCGCATGCATTACAATAGGTAATGCTGATTCGAAGCCATCCTGTGTACATTGGTTTCTGTTTTGATCGATATATAAAAACATTCAGTGCTCCAATATGTTCCAATGGTATTTACAGAATATTCGAAATTTAAATAATCTAAATCTTTGTACAGTTTGAATGTTGATCGAAGGTTTGAAGTAAACTCACAAGGTTCTATTCTCGTCGAAGACAGAGAACCTACCTGATGAGTAAAGCCAAAGTTGTTAATAGCAGCGTTCTTGGACATTACCTCCCGGTTTGAGCCCCGTGAGCTCTACCCCTTACTAGCTCGGTAAATCTAGAATAACCCCTCGTGGTTACTAGAATAGGTACGGAAAAAAGGACATTAGTTATATTGCGGGAATTCCGTAGAAGATTCGGCCTTCGGTCCAAAATGGGGACAAAACCAAGCTATTGTTTACTGTAAAAAGTACTTTTTGACTCTCGCCTGTTTCTGTCGTGAAGCAATGTGTTTCAGTTTGAAACCTGGAACAATCGTCTGCTGTGCAATTGAGACTTAAATAGTGTCTTATGACTGGTGGCGGCATAGTCGTGATCTATGAAATGCAAATAAAAAGAAAGTTTTGTTCCGATCATCCCAAAATTTGACTTGACAAAAATGATTTTACAAAAACATAGGCTTTCATCCAATAATGGTCTCCATATTCGTTTTCAAACTTATCATTAATTTTCATCGAACTATTGATTTATACAGTTTATAAAATCTTTAACAGATTGACATGGCAGCTTTTCTAGACCGTTTGACGCGTTTTAGATATTATTAATACGCGCTTTAAAATTAAACAGCTATTTTTGCTTTCGGCGCATTCAGATGTTAAAATTTCCGTTTTTAATCTTGGATTCTCGATCAATAGTCAACTATTTAAATATCACTCATTTTAAGAAGTACCTATACTTATAGATATAAACAGGCGACGCTAAAACATTTAATTAGGTTAAAGATTTTCGTCTCCGTTTTTTACCAACCAAATAATTAATTATAAATAAATAAAATTTGGAAACAAATATTTCTTTTATAAAGAGAACACGTCAATAAGAGAAATCGAAGTATCATTAAGTAACAATAAGTATCATTCATTATGGTCGAATGATCATTGGACGAATAGGTATTAGATATGTTAAAACGGTCAAAATCATCGAAAGGGGGACGGACCCCTTTGGGGCCTGTTTCAGTCTATATATTCGTATATAGAGATCACACACACACGAACATCAACTTTTATATATTTACATAAAACCAAATATGATTTGGCATGTTCAATTTCGAAATTCCATTGTTAATTCATAACTATACAACATTGAAATGGCAAATAAAATAATATATTATTCATTGTTTCAGGTGATAATGGGTGATAGGACTGCAGCGGAGAGAGCGTGTAAAGATCCGAATCCCATCATAGATGGTAGGAAGGCCAACGTCAACCTCGCTATTCTTGGAGCTAAACCTAGAGGGAATCTCGCACCAGGTAAGTTTGGTTTCGTAGCTTATTTTAAAATGAAAACAAATCTAGGCGGGTAAATTAATTATCGATTACTATAATATTTCTGGGCAGCAGCTTGCTTGGCTATTGATACTAATGTTGTCCACGGTGACAAGTTAGAATGAACAAGCCCAGGGCCGCCGATCCAAAAAAAAAAATTATAACCGTCCCAATTATTCTTGTGAAGAAGGCACCTAGACTTATCTTTCAGGTGATGATTTTATATCATCACGGCAATGTCTACTGCCACTAATTTAGAATTTTCACATTTAGTTAATTTCGTTTGCATAATAAAATTTTTTTGTTGAAATCGTCATAAATGAACCAATGGTTGATATTTGATGAACTTCTTCTATTTAAAGATTGATTTTAAAAAATTTCCCATACTGAGTCTTGTTTCCCTTAGATATGGCCATAAGACAAGGGTTTTTTAACTCACAACTACATCCAATATGTGGCAGTATATGGTATTCGTTTAAGATAATATGGGATCCAGTGATCATAATGCCAAAATTCAAAAATACCAAATAACAATTTTGCATGTAATTCATTGCGTTCTTTTGGTTAAAGATACTAACGACAATTCATCTAAATAAATAAGAAATCTTATATTTATGATGGTGCTAGTACTATGACAAACTAAGTTCTAGTCGGTTTGTAACTCGAAGTTGACTTTTCAAGAAGCAAAACAAGTGCAAGTCAAGTAGAAAAAATACAATTTTTTGATAAAAAAATAATATATACGTACCCACGTTCAAAAAACATGAAATGTGCTCTGAATAATATCTCCGAACGTTTAAATAAAATTCCAACAGACGCATTTCATTTACATAGACCAAACAAGATAAATTATCGTTCTATTGTAATTCAAAATCGGCTTTGTCCGTAGTTCAGATTTTTTTCTGTTAGATGAATTCAGTTTTACAGATGAATCATACCTATATTTCTAACAACGTACTACATAAAGTGCACGTTCGAATAATTTTAGATTTTAATAATNGAACGTTTAAATAAAATTCCAACAGACGCATTTCATTTACATAGACCAAACAAGATAAATTATCGTTCTATTGTAATTCAAAATCGGCTTTGTCCGTAGTTCAGATTTTTTTCTGTTAGATGAATTCAGTTTTACAGATGAATCATACCTATATTTCTAACAACGTACTACATAAAGTGCACGTTCGAATAATTTTAGATTTTAATAATGATTATTATTTATTTAGAAAGCTCTTTTTGTTCACAAAAACTACCGAGCGTATGTGTTTGAAAATGAGTCATTCTGACTGTGCTGCATATGAATAAATTTGCGAATTATTAATAATAAATGGTAGAACGTATTAAAGGCCATGCCGGTAGGTACCACCATTCTGCCAGATTCTGCTGGTTTGTAGGATGGGATAGTTGTTGTACAATACAATTTAGACTTCGACCTTAGGGCTCGAGATGGGTGGCGGCATTTTGAAGTCGTCTTGGCCCAAAAAAACAAGGAGCATGGTGTGCTCGTATCGAGCGATGCGACCATGCCGGTTTTCGAATTCCGCAGGTAGGTACCAAATTTTGCTAATGAAATACGTAATTAAATCAAGTTTACAAAAAAACATTCAGACCCAGAAAAATGATAATTTGTGTAGCTACTCTAAAATTCAGACATAGACATCAAATCTAAATATGGCTGACATTTGCGTTGTGATGTTTATATTCTCCGCTAACCATTTTACACCAGATCGGCTGTGAATCGTTCACCCAACGTAATTTCGTAATACACTAGTGAAACCCGGCTACGCTTACCTGTTTCTCCTGATAATACTGTAAAACCATCGCATAGAACACGACAAACAAGGCCACAAAATATTCATTTAAACATTCATGTATGTAGGTACTCTTATAGTCTGACCTTCGCGACCTGAAATAATGCTACCTCCGATCGTTCTCATCATCGTTTGATTATAAATCGAGCGGACGCGTAGGTACTTTATAGTCGAAGGTGTCGCTTATCGCTCAGCTGTTTGTAAAAGGAGCCGTTTTTCTGTGTAACGCACATGATTATTTTTTTGTCGGTCCCACGACTGTGTCTGTGAGGGTAAAAATGGGAGATCGCTTCGTGTGTGATATAATACTTGATACGTGAACTATGTGGGGGTCGCGTGCATGTGTTGTTTCACTAGATCTTTAGTTTAATCTGATGTTGTTTTTTATTCGTTAAAACTATATTATGCTCGTGTTATAGTCAGCTAGCCAGAGGTCACGACAGTTTGTCCGTTTCTTTATTCGCTCATACGAATTTGCTGTGGGGCCACTTTGAAAATCGCTGCCTTCCTAAGATTCCTAATATTCCTAGTATCCTGACGTTATATGCTTATCTACCGCATTTTGAGTACCATGACAGTCCACATGGGGCATGCGTACTGCCTATTTCTGTGAAGAAATGCGTTTCGGTTTAAAACTAACAATACTAGAATAGACTTCACGTTGCTGTGTGAGCTTCCGTAAATGCTCAGGGTCTGCGCTGGGTGGTCATCAAGCCTCCTCATCCTGGGTCGTAATATACCAATAAAAATGCATAAAATAGAATAATTATTAATGTAAATCATGTAATACAAAATAGGTTGAACAGCTTCTAAACCATATTATTATTGTAAATATAGAAAAAAACATATTGGTACATTTTGTCCTAAACGATTCCAAAAAGGTTTTTTGGTCTGATCATAGCTTAATCAAAAATCTATTGCTAAAATAAGTGGAGAACTTAAATGAGATTGTGTGACCTGAGTGATACTTGAGTATTTTAAAGTATTTAAAATAAACAAACACAAAAGTTACGTTTGCCAAAATTTATATACACCTGGATAATTTATTTATTGCATAGATATAGTTATCCTGCTTACGGTCACCTGGTATCAAGTGGTTACTGGAGCCTATGGAGGTAAAAAATTAAATACCACTTACCTTTGAGGCATGAGGTCTAAGTCTCTATTGCATAGTGAAAATATGGTATTGTCCACACATATATTAAAAAAAATTTTGGATGTAACTAAATAAATGTGCGTTTTATGATATCTATTTAATTAAAAAATTTAAATAATTCAGTGAGAGCAACAGCCATCGGGAATTCACGAAATCTAAATCTATTCTTTCTGTAAGAGTTCGAATTCGAGCGCGTAATAAAAATAAACCGATTAATTATTAACTGAATAAGTGGGGCATGTTTATTTATATCGCTTGATTAGCCGATACCGATAGTCGACTGATGTAGATAAAATATTAGTAGATAAAATATTATTTAAGTTTATCTATGAGTGTGCATTACGGGTATTATTTTAATAATGTAGTTTCGATAAGAATATTTTTTAATTATTTAAATGAAATGAGACGAAACGCTACTCGGAGGTTTTGTTAAAAATTGGCTTAGCCGATTTGCAAATAGTGAATACATTTTGAAACGATAAATTCTCTTCCGCAATAACCTTGGGGCGTGGAAAATGATTTTGTCCGAGTTGTAGTGTATCATAATCAACACCTAGAATATTGATTAAATATTTAAAATGTGCTACGAAAATAAAAATAATTTATAAGCAGTTGACCCGTTGTTCGCTGTTATAATATATATTTTTTTGAAATTTTTAGGCACCTACGTTGTGGGCGTATGTTATCGGATGTTCTAGAAAGAATTTGATATCCGGTACCAACGAATACCTTATATGTTCATTATAAAGCTTTCACTAGTTAAAGCGTGCGGTTTTCTTTCATTGTAACAACTATGTAGTTATTTTGTTTGTTTTGTATGTAATGATTTTTTGTATTAATTTTATATTTTTAGAGCTTTGTTACGACGTAACAAATGTAAATAAACTGCGAATTTCAATTCAATTTATGGTCAAATCGGCAAGGATCTTTTTCAATCGTATAATAAATGAGTCGTCTATTATCAAAGGTGGCAACCTGTGCATTTGGAAAAAAAATGTTATTGATATGTCAATACAGATTAATTTGAATATAATCGTCTCCTTCAAAGAATACGGTTCAAAACCTGCATTAAATAAAGGTTAATACTTAACCTTTTATTTATCTAAGATGTCGTTCAGAAGAGTTTTGTGACTGCCAATGGAATACAAAGTCAATAATTCGTTTTTCTGATTTACCAATAATTGTCCAAAAGTCACATTGCCGGCTGTGATAATAGTCGACTCAAATACATTGTAAGCATCTCTAATTATACTTACAATGTATTAAGTACTTAAGTTACATTCACAAATAAGACAGATTTCAATAACCGTATTGCATTACTGGTGGTAGGACCTCTTGTGAGTCCGCACGGGTAGGTACCACCACCCCGCCTATTTCTGCCGTGAAGCAGTAATGCGTTTCGGTTTGAAGGGTGGGGTAGCCGTTGTACCTATACTGAGACCTTAGAACTTATATCTCAAGGTGGGTGGCGCATTTACGTCGTAGATGTCTATGGGCTCCAGTAACCGCTTTAACACCAGGTGGGCTGTGAGCTCGTCTACCCAGCTAAGCAATAAATAAAAAAAATCTAGACCGTTTTTGATCCAGTTTCATTACCATCATTTTCTTAATAACAAAATAGTCAAAACGAAAACACAGTTCGTCGGGCTTGTAATAAAATTTTAATCGCATCGTAAATAACGAACGATAAATACGAAACGTTGGGTAGGAAACATTATTATTAAAATATATACTGTGTTAACATGTTACACTTTGTTGTAATTGGTACAATAGGATATTGCTTTTAATACAAAATTGTACCCCGAACGGTGCATAGCGCATTTTGATTTTTCATTATGCTCTTTTATTTTTGTAGAGAAACCGACCAGGAATAGTGAATTATACCGTCACTAGAAATACAATCAAAATTAACAATTTTGAGATGGTTAGTGGATAATAATAGGACTTTATTTTTACTAACATACCTTGGGCATGGTCCTTATGGGTGGGTCCCTAAGAGGGTTTTATTTTATTCGGGT